TTCCCTATTTCTTTCTCTCCTATCCTGCCAAGCCCTACTGAGTGTAGCATATTGGAAAAATGCAGTGGGGCCAGAGGTAGCCATCAGTAAGTGAAAAGAAGAGTATAGTAGAGTTAGAACTATTATCTGCGGAGGTAAGGGAGCCAAACTGAGTTTATCTTGGGAGGATGGATGCAAGAAAAGCTTTGAAATGAGTTGAATCGGGAACCAAGACCAAAGCCATGGTCATTGAGAATCTGTGGTGGGAGGGCAGATGGAAAGGTGGATGGAAGCACCAGAATCAACGTCCTTCATCACAGAAGTGAACCCTTCTGTTTTGGGGGAGCTGTGAGATTTAAAACGTAATTATGAGAAGTTTTGTACCACTGGAGGACAGGACACTTATTGTACTGAAAGATACGGAATGATAAGTGTCATGCACTATCTTTGACCCTGTAGCAATCAGAAGAGTCTTGTTTAAATCATGCATTTGTACTGTCTTGCCAGGTCGGTTTGGCTCTTTTTGCCTCTCATTATTTTTGCTCCATTTTAGAAACCTTTTCACAGAATTTTTGTCTGCTTTGAAACTAGGGCCCCTTTTGATTTCTCACCTTCCTTATTATAGTTCCTAATCAAGCAGGTGGGCTGCCATATGGCTAAGCATTCCTGACAATTCTCAATGTAGCTATTAAAATATTAGGCACTCTTGGGGTAGGGCTGGAGAGGCCGTCCTGGTGGCTTTGTGGCATGAATATGTACTGCTTCCATAGCCGACCTAGCAGCAACAGCCTCCAATTTCTCTTCTGCAGGCTGCTGGAACATACTCTGCTCATTTGTTGAACTAGCCATTGCCCTTATAGGCATTTTCCACTAGCCAATCTATGGGATGGGTTTGGCTTTGAATAGTGTTGTTGACAGTCACTGCCCTTGGAAATCGATGCTAAGTTCGTTGCTGGCTAAACACATGCATGGCTGTGTCTAGACTGGAAAGTTTTTCCGCAAAAGCAGCTGCTTTTGTGGAAAATCTTGCCAGCTGTCTACACTGGCCACTTGAATTTCTGCAAGAACACTGACTTCCTACTGTCTGAAATCAGTGCTACTTGCGGAAATGCTATGCTGCTCCCGTTCAGGCAAAAGCCCGCTTGCGCAAATGCTTTTGCGCAAGAGGGCCAGTGTAGACAACCTGGAATTGTTTTGCGCAAAAAAGCCCTGATCGCGAAAATGGCAATAGGGGCTTTCTTGCGCAAAACCGCATCTAGATTGGCACGGACGCTTTTCCACAAAAAGTGCTTTTGCGGAAAAGCATCCATGCCAATCTAGACGCTCTTTTCCGCAAATGCTTTTAACAGAAAAGTTTTCCGTTAAAAGCATTTGCGGAAAATCATGCCAGTCTAGACATAGCCATGAAATTTAGAGCTCCTGGGATGTGGGGCAAAGGCAGGGTAGCAATTCTTAGAATTAAGGGTAAGAAATTCTCAGGCTGGCAACTCCTTTTGGGGATAGGTACAAGGTAAGGGAAGCCATATGCAGTAGGGAGAGGAGGTAGACACTACAGCAGCCTCTGCCTCCCCAATGCATAGCTGAGGTTACAGAAGTGACATGGTTCTGTAGGTTGTAGAGCCCAAAGCTGCTGCAGTCTACTTATTTTCTCTTGTCTGTTGCAGGTCGGCCCTTTGAACGTTCCACTATAAGAAGCAGATCTTTTAAAAAAATCAACCGTGCTTTCAGTGTCCTTCGAAGGACAAAAAGTGGCAGTGCTGTATCCAGCCAGGCTAACCGGGAAAGGGAGAGTGTTGAAAACTGTTTTGTCTCTGAGGAAGGTAACACTTTGTTCAGCGTATGTATTTTTCTATTTACTGTGAGAGGGTAGGAACCCCATTCACATGACTATTCAACACCCAAGACTTACAGTACTTGTCATATTTATATATTGTGTGACCATAATGTTTAGGAGCGCTGGTCATAGACTAGTTTGTGTTTTTAAAATGCTTCATTGTTTTATTCCCATGTTTGTGTGTAACCATGTTTGTGTGTGTCTACGAAAACAACAAGGAGTCCTTTGCCACCTTAGAGATTAACAGATGTTTAGGACATAAACTTTTGTAGGTAAAACCCACTTCATTACCCAATGAAAGCTTATCCCTAATAAATCTGTTGGTTTCTGCAGTGCCACAGGACTCCTCATTGTTGTTTTGTTGTTTTATTTTTTTTAAATGTACCAGCCCTCAAGGAGAGGGAGAACTTAGAGGCATTTGAGACCTAATTAAAACTATTCTGGAAACAGAAGACATGCTACAGAGACAGCGGAGGCCTAGTGTTTAAAACACAGATTGAAATTCAGAACACCTACATTCTGTTATTGGCTCTGCCCTGACACACTCTGATTTTGGACAAATTACTTATCCAGAGTGTCAGTTTCCCCCCTATAAACTTGTGCATTATCTACTATACATCTCAGGGGATGTGAGGGTTCATGAATGAGTTTAAGCATATGGAAATCTGCAGGTGGAAGGCATTATACAAATCATCCATGTCATCAGAGTTCTGGCACCTGTGTTTGATACTGGGTGGCAGATGCATGCTAACGTGGCTGGGCAGGTGACACTGCAAGAGAATTGTGCTCTGTCATAGGGAAATGAGACAGGTGTCAATGTCATGTGTCAATAATAAGAGAGAGGTGGAAACTAATACCTAGCACCTGATGTACTCACAGCACTACATAACTAATTGCTCTGAATCATATGCCAACACGGCAGCCATCAGCATGGAGAGAAGTGGCAGTATCTTTACCTAAATCAAGCTCTAAACTTTAGCCATAGGAATATGGCATAGAATCTCTTATCCCCAAATCAGATATCCATTTGCATCTTGCTCAGGTTGGTGTTTCCAGAAGACAAAGGGTCCAGTTGCCCCATTGCATTGCGATCATTAGCACCTTGTGAGGGGGCCAACTCACCACCGCAGCACCACCAGCCATCTGTCCTTGGAATTAGCTCTTTCTTGCTAGCTGGTTGCCTTCCCTCAGGTGGTGTCCCCTCTTTCTCCCGGTCATGGCGTCCTCTTCAGGACACTGCCCTCCGGCAGTGACCACATCAGTCTCTGAGCCCCCCTTCCGGGGGTGGTTGTTTACTCAGCGTGCCATGTCTCAGGCCCTGCAGCCTCGGAGCTTACTCGGCCAGAGCTCCCCTAGCCCTGCCTTGCTTCCCCAGTACTGCTTTAGCTCCAGGGAGCCTCCTGCTTCCCTGGCAGCCAGGTCCTTACTGCTGTAGGTCCAGAGCAGTAACCCAACCTCCTCCTCCCTCCAGGAGTCCTTCCTTATATAGCTCCCAGCTGGGCCCTAATCAGTGAGGCCTGCCTCAGCTGGGGCTTTACTCCCAACCCTTGCTCAGGGCTGGGGTTTGCCCTTAAAGGGCCAGTGCAGGGCAAGCACCCTGTCACACACCTGAATACAGCAAGGCTGTGTCTGCATTGGCACCCTTTTCCGGAATGACGTAGGGAAGGGTAGGAGAGATGTCCTGGAGGCCAAATTTAGGCTGCTAGGAAAGAGACTGAAATCCAGGACCTCTATAGTGGCATTCTCGGAAATGCTTCCAGTTCCACGCGCAGGGCCAGGTAGGCAGGCAGAGCTTCAGAGTCTCAATGCGTGGATGAGACGATGATGTAGGGAAGAAGGGTTTCGATTTATTAGGAACTGGGGACACTTTTGGGAGAGGGGGAGCCTATACAGGAAGGATGGGCTCCACCTAAACCAGGGTGGAACCAGACTGCTGGCACTAAACA